CATACGCCATTTCCCATTAAGCTACTTGAATGCATGAAACAAACAGGGCGAAAACGTTTTGAAAACGCCACTCGCGGTTATAAGTTGCCCAAAACCAGGCCTTAGTTAATAACAATCAAATTTATAATTGTCATTTTAATTAAATCTTTATATTTTATGTTTAACTATTGCAATTAATACTAATATTAAATAATATTATTTAAACTAATTACCTTTGGAAATATAACCCCAACCTTTCTCAGCTTTCTCCTTTTTTGCACAATCACCAAACTCGATTTCTTTTAAATTTTAATTCAACTATTGGTCCAATTAAAATTAGTAATATTAAATTTTAGAATTTGAATAATATTTAACTAATTAAATAAAATAAAACCTTTATCTTGATTACCCTTTTCATTTTTTAATTAGAAATTTCTTCTACCTATTTTTATTGACATTATTAAATATAATCTTATCTTAGCACTTAAATAAAATCAATTATACAAAGTAAATGCTAAAATAAATGTATAATTAAGAATTCATAATGAGCATACTTGGCCTCAAAAACTATCCTGGTTATATCTTTCTATTTGGTTCTGACCTGATAATATCCCGATCTTAAATCAATTCTAGAAAATGTAGTAGCGCCATCCAACCAATCAACTCTCTATAATCAATGCAGAATCTCATAGATCTGTCTTTCTTCTTGAAAAATAATATTGGAGCACTCCAAAGTGAATTACTTGGCACGATAAAATATTTACCTATAATTTTTTGTAATTAATATTTCAATTTCTGCAATTCCTTTGGAACCAGTTTATAAGAAGACTTGAAAATTATAGTTGTCCATGACTGCAAATCAATGCCAAATTTAACTTTTCTTTCTCATGGTAGACTTGAAAATTTCTTGAAATTTTGAAACTACCGGAATATTCTTTAATTCTTGCACATTCTCGTTCATCACTTCTAATTTTTTTAACCAATAGCTCACGACTTCGCAAACTTTTTTAACCTTCATTGCATTGATTAAGAAGATAATGAAGTCTTATTGCAAGAGAAACAAAATGGCTTCTTGCCAGTCAAATTAAACATCAATATCTTCTTCTAATATTCAATAGTAGCAAATGCTTTACTAACCAATCCATCTCAAGTATAACATCTAAGGTTTGAATTCGTATTACATTTAACTCTGTTGGTACTTCCTATTTATAATACTAACTTGCACAAAACTGCGTACAGGGCATTTTTCTAGGGAATGATGACACTTAATGCAGGAGAAAAGTGTACAAAATCAAGAGATAATTTGATAAAAAATCAGAAATGAAAAAATGTGATACACTCGGTTCAAATAAAACTTTGCTAGATTGATCTTGAATAATAAGCGTACCAGTAACCACTTCTACAATTTTTTTCAGCTTCACGAGGGGTAATTGCGATAACTCTAACCTTCACTAGTGGATCATTTTGGCGATCTAAAGTCTCATCCTTTGTTTGAGTTGAAGGCTTTCCATAAGCTTGAGCCTTTTTTGACTAGCTGTCTTCTAATAATTTTTTGGACTGTTAATGGCTTGAAATATCTGTGGTCTAACCAAAAAAGCACTGCCCAAAATAGATTCTTTCACATTTCTAACAAATTGGCCTTTCCAGCTGGAACTGCTTCACTTACATTCCAATTTAAATTTCTTATTTTGGCGGTTTTCTCCCTTCCTAAATTCTTTTTTCTTGCTTGCTTTGGGTTGCCATTGTTGACTGGAGAAGTTTAACTCATTTTCAATTCTTCTGGTCCTTTCATTTAGCATTGAAAATTTACTTATTTCAAAATGAACCTAATGCCAATCTCTACTGATCTTGGAGGCATACAAAAATTGATGACATTTTTTCTCCTAAATGCTGAAATAATGAGGTGCAAATCAGGAAAGATAAATAAATTTTGCTTCATGTTGCATACCTGCTTGGACCCCCGATTCAAATTGAAAAATTTATCTTTTAGTTCAAATACGATGGAAGGTGGAATAAACTATCCTTGGAAACTCTTACAAACTCATTATTTGAAATCTATGGAAGAGGTGTTAGCCCAAATTTTCTCAATGGTATTCCTACCACCATCTCACTGCCTCACCTTCTAGCATGAAAGTGGCTAGCACAACTTTTTTATTTTCCAAGCAAATTATGTTATAAGAATTTTACCTACTTTCACTAGTACCTTTAAATACATGTGTCTTGAATGTTTGGAAGATCTTCAAATGCCAATCAACTTTTATAGCATATTCCAATTAGAGCCCCGATTCTGATAGATGGTTTTTAAGTAGTAGTTATATTATCAAAAACTTGCGATATTAAGTGAACAATGCCCTGTAATAGTAGTTTGGGTTTCTTCGTTTGCCCTATTCTGAATATCACTTATGTTCAAGTTGTTTTTAGCCTGCCTTTCTTATTTTGCAGTTAGCCTAGAAGACTGATCCTTAATTCATTCTGATATTTCTTCAGATATATTCACTTGTATTTGCACAATTTATTATTCAATGCAATTTATCATATAATAGTTATGTCATGCATACATTCTTTCTTCAAGTTATCCACTCCAAATTCAGTTAACATGTAGCTCTTTATTAATAAATTTATATTTTAATCTAATTTTTACTTCTAAACCTAAGCATGCTTCCATCATTATTTTCATCCAAGCCTTCGCTCTGCTACTAGTTTTTGTTACACCACAACTGACTCTGTCAGACAAAATTCTCACCAACTCTAATTAAAACTCGTACAAATCAAGATTCAGTGGATAGTGAATTAGTCTCACTCAATCGTCACAAACATGTACAATTTAATTAAATGCATAATTCGTCAATATTCTCAATTTCTTAGAAGTGTGCATAATAATATCACCAAAATACATATAGAGCCCCGGATGCGAAAAGTGGAAGTTTGTGTTAGGTAGTCTACAACCAGCATAAAATTTGTCGAAAAATTATGACATGAATCCTTTAAACTTTATTATCACCTTGATAAAACAAAAAAAAAATACTAAACATTGTGGTCATTTGCATAAGTGAGGCTCCTAGTGATGAAGTGTATGGTCAAGGAAATGAGATTATGCCACAACCCAATTTGGAAGCTTGAAAAACCAAGACGATAATATACACTCAAACAAAAATTTAGATATTTCTTTTAACATTAAATAATATCAAAATTTTATTAAACTTTTTCAAAACATTAACATCTTTTTTTTCAACTTTTATGGCATATTTTTTAATGAAAAATTTACATATATATAACACACAATTTTTATATATTTACATATCTCACACCTAAACTTCTATAATTACATACATAATATTTTGGTGTTTTAAACTTATGCTTGAAACCATGTATTTGACTTTTAGAAATTGATGATGGTGCAACTTTTGATGTGATATTAAATAATCGAGTATTATGTGCTTAAATCTGAAATTTAGGTGTGAGATATGTAAATACATAAGGTTTTTGTGCTTTGTATGTAAATGTCCCATAATTAGTATACCATAGTTATTGGGGCTGATGTTTTTTTTGGAGCATGCTAGTGTTTGTGCCCTACATTTGCAGCTTCTATGTTCTTAGTGGGTTGACTTATTTGTTCTCTTTCGTTTATATAATTTTTGTTGAAGCAAAACCACATAAAATTTTGCTTATTTAATGTTGTTTTTTTCTTAAAAGGTGTGAACGCTTTAGATATCTCGGGTCTATTGTTAAAAGTGATGGTGATATTGATGGGGATTTTATTAGTAAAATTCAAGTTGATTGGTTGAAGTGGAGGAATGCTTCCGGCCTATTGTGTGATGGAAAAGTACCGCTTAAACTGAAAGGAAAATTATATAAGATGGTGGTGAGACCTGCAATGCTCTATGACGTTGAATGTTGGTTTTTAAAAGAGAAGCATAAAACTAAGTTAAGTGTTGCCGAGATGAGAATGATTAGGTGGATGAGTGGGTTTACACTTAGAGACAAAATGCAAAATGAATATATCCGTGATAGGGTTGATGTATCTTCAGTGAAGGACAAAATTAGAGAGAGTCGTCGTAGATGGTTTGATCATATTAAACATCGACCAATTGATGATCCAATTAAAAGAGTAGATGTTTTAGATTCGACTTATGTTAAGAAAGACAGCGTAGACTTAAAAAAGGCTTGGGCATATTGTAAAAAAAATGATCTTAATTTATTAGAATTAAATGAATATATGACAATAAAAAGTACTCAATGGAGAAAAAGGATTCATGTAGCCGGCCCCTCTTAGTGGGATAAAGGTTTTGTTGTTGTAATGTTGTGTTTTTTTCTGTTCTGTTCATTTTTTTTTGTCGCCCTGTTTTTGATCATGATGATGCTTTATCTCAAGTCTTTTGTATCCTCTTTAAAAAGTGACTTAAATTCTATGGTCATTAATGGAGTAAAAATACAGTTTATTTCATCAGTTCTAACAGTTGCTTGTATTTTTGGGCATATTAAATTCCCTTGTATTGTTATTGCAAGATTCTTACTGATTTCTATTGTTAAATTCTTCTAGTATTGCTAATTGGAACAATAATTTACTTGTCTTATAGTTTGGAGCCTTGTGCATTGCCATTATGGTTTATTTTAACACCAGAATAAAGGACATGCAACGAACGTTGGTTCTCTTAGTATTTTTAAGGTAGTGCCATACCATAGAATGAGGAACGGTTACTACAAAACTTTCTTTTGCTTATTTCCTTATTTTGTGTCATGGTGATATTTCTATGTTCCTTTATTTCTACATACGGGTTTTTTCTGAGATAAAAATTTTATAAAATTTAAATCTTCAATTTGCTTGTAAAAGTGTCATATTGTTTAGATCATCACTGCAACTCAAATGCTTGTTATGGTGCTTGGAACATTAACAATAAGGCATAGAAGCTTGTCATTGCTTTCTTGTTCTTTCTTAATTTGATGCATTCGAACAAGCAAATAGTTTCAATCAATTACACAAGATCGTCAAATAACATATTTTTGTGCATTTTAAATTTCAGGTGCTATTTATCTCCCCTGAGAGATTATTGAATCCAGAGTTTCTGTCAACATTTGGGGATGGTCTGCCGATATCTTTTGTGGCGATTGATGAAGCCCACTGCATTTCTGAATGGTTAGCATAATGAACATTAGGAAACTTACAAAATAAATTTGCACATTTCGTACACTTTACTTGTTGCTACTATCACATATTCTTTTTCCTTGTTGATACCAATATGGAATAGCGTTTGTTAATGTAATTTAATTTCCATAATTACCCCAAAAATAACTTCAATTTATTTTTTAAAATTTGATCAGGTCTCACAATTTTCGGCCTTCATATTTGAGGTTGAGGGCAACATTGTTACGGTCGGTGCTTAATGTTCAATGCTTTCTTGCAATGACTGCAACTGCAACAACCCAGACATTACATGGCATAATGCGTGCTCTAGAAATTCCTTCTACAGGTCTTATCAAGAAATGCCAAATTAGGGACAATCTACAGCTCTTTATAACCTCAAATGACGATAGGCATGATGAATGTTCTGCTGAAGTAGCACTATTTACCTAGTTCTTCAGCCACTACGGTTTCATTTTGTCTGTTACTGTTGTAGGCTAAAAGATTTGTTGATTCTTATCAAGTCAATTTCTATGAACAACATGAGAAGTATCATCATCTACTGCAAGTTTCAGGTTTGCTTACTTCAGCCATTTCTCCACTGGTCTCTACTTATTGACTTGGCCCACTTCACCCTGCACATGCACCACAGAAAAACACATTATACGATGAACGACTGCTCTTTAAATTTCTCTTGAAGGTCTCACTGCATTAATTTTGACCCATCTTGTAATGTTTTCTTGGCATCACAACTTTGTTTGCATGCATTTCTTAAACTGGACGGGAATTCCGGCGGCCTTGCTATCTCTTAAAATCTGCATCCGACTCATCTGAGTGTTTTTATTATTTTAGGTTAAATTTTCAAAAGGCAGATTCAATTTTATAGACAAGACACTATTTAAACATTTCACCATCATTTTGATAGAATTATAAGATGATTCCAGGGTTTCTATAGGCAAAGCTTTTATTGTTTGTATGGCCCCAATAATGAGAAAACATTTGATTTAGGCTAATGGTTTGGAGATGATCATGTAGCATATAGTGGAATTAATTTTTATTTTCGCTAGTGAAAATTTACCACCTGTAGCTTTGCATAGATTGTGGGATAATGATGAAGAACTCGATTAAGATCCCATGGCTTTATTGTTCTGGATTGTCGTTGGCTCTAAGAGATGGTTTACTCGACTTGACTGAATGATCATTTTCAACTGCTATTCTTTGTCTAAGAGAATCTTGCAGTTATCACATGCCATTCAACCTTCTCAAATCAATCAGAGGTATGACAGAAGAGTGATTTAATAAAAACCTATACTTATAGACACTTATGTTGAGTTGTACTCACAGGATTGAGTGGAGAATTAGTTTTACTGGATCATCACTGAAGAAACTATTAATTTTAACTCTTCTTATATTCATTAACAATAGAAACTATTGTGAAGTTTCTAAAAATATGATTAATGCTAATGATCTTTATATCATTAATAATAATAAAATATTTTATTTTTACTGCTGCATTAGTAAAAAAAGAAGTTGAGGAAGCTTTAGGGAAAACTAATGGTGGAAAATCAGTAGGACCTATTGATTTCTTAGTTGAAGTGTGAAAATATGTAGGAGATTTGGAAGTTTTTTGGTTTACTAAACTTTTTAATGTTATTTTAAAAGTTAAAAAGATGCCTGAAGAGCGAAGGAAGAGTATTTTGGTCCTAATTTTTGAGAATAAAGGGGATGTGCAAGAGTGCAAACTATTCAGAAATTAAGTTGATATATCATACTTTAAAATTATGGGAGAGGGTAATTGAACATAGGTTAAGACGTGATGCAAATATTTCTCATAATCAGTTTGGATTTATGCCGGGCATGTCTAATATTGAAGCTATACATTTATTGAAGGTTTTGATGGAGAAGTACAAAGAGAATTAGGGGGATCTACATTTGATTTTTATTGATTTAGAAAAAGCATACGGTAAGGTTCTAAGAGAAACCATTTGGAGATTTCTAGAGAAGAAAGACAGTGATATGACTTATATTCGAGTCATTAAAGATATGTATACTAGAGCTGTTACTTATGTTCGAACAAAAGGAGGATTGATCAAGTATTTTCCTATTTTAGGTTGATTACATTAAGGATTGGCTTAAGCCCATATCTTTTTGCTTTAGTTATGGATGCTTTTACTTGACATTTGCAGAAGGATGTACCTTGGTGTATGCTTTTCAGTGATGATATCCTTCTTGTGGACAAGATTAGAAAAAAATTTTGAGAAAAAAATTAGAATTATGGAGGTCTACATTAGAATCTAAAGGCCTTCGTTTGGTAGATCTAAAACTGAATACATGGAATGCAATTTTAGTAATAGTAGCTCAAGTGGCAGAGTTGAAATCATGGGTGATCAAATCATTAAAATGTGTGAACTAGGCTAGAGAGAGTGATCAAATCATTAATTTTAATTCCTGGGTCTATTGTTCAAAATGATGGTGATATTGATGGGGTTATTGTTAATAGAATCCAAGTTTTGGTTGGTTGAAGTGGGGGAATGCATCAAGCCTATTGTGTGATAGAAAAGCACTACTTAGACTAAAAGGTAAGTTTTATAAGATGGTGGTGAGACCTTCAATTCTCTATGACACAGAATGTTGACCTTTAATAGAGAAGCATAAAACAAATTTAAGAGGTGCTGAGATGAGAATGCTTAGGTGGATTAGTGGCTTGACACTTAGAGACAAAATACGAAATGAATATATCCGTGATAGGGTTGATGTAGCTCTAGTGGTGGTGTCGGCGCTTAAAAAGGGAAAAGTTAATGTTTGGGGGTCGCCCGTAAGAAGCTGTCTGGGGCCCCGAGAGAAAAGCCA